TTTTTTGTGATAGGAAGACGAAAAAAGATTATGTGTCTGATGCTCTGTTGTTTAGCCTTTGTCAGCTGTGACCTCACTGGTGTCCTGTCCTTCTGTAGGGGAGATGTTTCCATTGTAGCTGGAGCCCAGTGTAGTCCTTCTGTGTCCCAGTTTTGTTGTCAGCAGGGTGATTTTAGCAAATGGGATGATGAAAGTGAGAAGATTTGCAGTAGGATTTGACTAAGACTTAAATAAAATTTGCCTGTGGTCTCTCATCTTTCGTCCTGGAAGTCAACTGGTTCTGCCACATAGCTTGATGCGCGTGTCCCTCACGGCATATTTAGGCTTTTAGCTTTGCTCTTCGCCATTTGATTGATTTTCAGACTTGCTCCATTGATAGTAGTGTGCCAGTTCTGTGATCTTTGCAATTGCTACTGCCTTGCTTCTGAGGTGCAAATTAGAAACTGGTGGAGTGGAAAAGGGAGGTGGTGCAGTGTATTTGTTGTTTTAGTCCAGGAGAATCCAAAAAGCAGGATCTAACAGTTACTGGGACAACATGGGGGAGAGCTCCTCTGGGAACTTACTTTCACTTAAAAAATGTTTTTTTCCCAAACTGTGAAATTCAGGAATTGGTGTACATGCTAAGATGATAGTAGCAATTGTAATTTGTTTTCTACCACGTGAAACTGTTCTGTAAATATATTGTTAAAATTAATGAAGTGTTAGTATTAATTGAACTAATACATTATGGCTAAGTTGTTTACATTTATTCTTTAATGTATATAATGGCCAGTCTCTTCGCGAACGAAGAACCGGGGAAGGTCTTTCCACCTTCCAGCCTGCGCATTGGATTTTTTTAGGTGAGACACAGTGTGCGCGGAACTGAGCCCACCCTTTAATCCTGAGGTTCATCTGCCGGGGCCAAGCACGCTTGGACGGTGGCAGCGAGGTCCTCAGGACGTAGATGGATTGCCTTTACCAGCTAAATGAAATGGTATCTCTACGCATTGTAATAGTAAAAAACAAAAGGTAGATGAAAGATTACAAATAGGAAACTTTATAATACACAAAGCTTCCTAAGAAGTAGGAAATAAAACAATTCTGCCTCTGTCTTGATAGAAAATGGGGCAGCCTGTTTAAATTCTGTACTAATTCTAGAAGGTTACGTAGATACTCGATCAGTAGATCTTACTTTAGATGCTTTGATTTCAAGTTGCAAGACTACAAATAACAATTCTATCAAAACTAATTCTGTAAAGAGTTCATTGATAGATACCTGTTCAGTTTGGTATTTGCTTGCAGATTGTAATTAACATTTCATCTGTTTCCTTTTAACTGCATGCTCTCTACCCATAAGAAGCATAATTACCATTAATCAAGACCTCTAATCTCACCAATTATAAGCTCTTACATTGTTCTAATTGCACATTTAAAAATAATGTGGTTTTCTCATATAATTATGATATGATACAAACAATTATTAATTTCTGCTTTTATTTTTATCTGATCAGTGTTAATTTTGTGTGACCTCACAATGCGTTATTTGAAAAATGCCTTTGAGACATACAGTTTTTTTGGTTAATTTACAATTGTGTTTCATATTCAGTGAGAAGTAATGTAGTGCAACAGTTTTTCAAGGCTGTGATTTCTCACAGCCACCCATGAATTGAATAATTTGTTGTAAACTAGGAACTTGTTGATGAAACAGAAGTGCAGTCATACATTTATATCATCTGCTATTTGTAAATCCAGGTGCTTGCTCTTTGAATAATATTTAGGTTAGCACAGTATGTAAAAGGGATTTGGTTTGGTTTTTTAATTGTTAAGTGGAACTTATATGCAGATGGATGGAATCTGGATCAGCTGAATCAGCTTTCCAGAAAGTGAAGATAAATGCAGTTTGGTTTCAGAAAGCTCTGCATGCCTTTGGGGCAAGATGTAAGAGGTTGTTCACTAGTTGATGTTGGTTTCACTTGTTGCTGTGTAGTTCTCATGCACACATTTTGTATGTGAGGGCTTTGGATGAGTGCATTTTGAACAAATCATCATCAATCTGATGATTCATCTCAGGAACCACATGCCACACTTAAATCTGTAATTGGGGTAATTGTAAACCTCTCATTCTTACAGATAGAAATTCTTCCTCTTATAATTCTAAAATCAGATCCCAGATCTTTTACTGTGGTAGCTGAGACCTGCACTGACTTGTATTTATGTCTGTATTCTTTCTTGTTACATCATTAAAAGTAGCAGATGATTGGGTGACCTTTCCAACCTGTGTCTGACCTTCAAGATTCACTTGTGTGGGTAATTTGCTATGGAAATTGCTGTGCTTTTATCTTTGACATTATTCAAACACTGGTTTAGATGGGGTAACACAGACTGCATTGTAAATGGATAGGCACATTGTTGGGGACAATGTGTTTTTATCTATTGTCAGAAAGGAATATTAATGTGTGTGTGGGGGCTGTCTTTTCTGAAATATCTTGACATTCATGGAGAGGAGATGTTGGGGATTTTGCTCTGTCATAAGTAGCCCAACTTTCTTCCTATAGTAGAGTGTGTGTTTCTGAAATCATTCTGGGGCTGCAGTCTACTGCAGTGGGTTCATTTCATTATTCCTTTGAAAAGAAGGAAAGGCACATAGCCAGCTACTTCCATGCAGAAGAGTTTAATGTTTAATATGCTAATGTATCTACCCAATATTAGGCTGCAAAAATCCTTGGCTTTAATGTGTCCTTAATAGTAATAAAATGGTTAGCTAATGATAAATTAAGGATTGTAAGTTTGGGAATTTTTTTAAAAATGAAAAATTAATCTAGGCAGGAATAACTTATCTTGCCAAGATAATTGTCATACCGGAGCTGCAGTTTGCTGTGGGAATTGCTTGCCTCATAGCAATCAAAATGGAGAAACCAAATTTTGGTTTTTCCTTTAGGCTTCAAGTAGATGAACACTAACGGGACAGAGCGGTGACTCCATTTTTACCTTTGCTGGCATAGAGCTGTACATGCCAAGGCACTGAGCCCCCAGGTCTCGTTGTTTGCCAGAGAGTTGTATGGACACAAGTACGGTTGCCCAGAAATCTACAGACAGGGATGTGCTTGTGACCCTCTTCCTAATCGGTCACCTATTTCAGTGCTGTGCTGGCTGGCAGAAGAACAATGTTTATGGATGCCTCGTGCTACTGCAGTGTCCTGTAGGGTTGTGTTTGCATAGCAGAGGGCAAACCAGGACTTAGTTAGGGAAAAGTAATGCTGTTCTAATACAAAATACTTGTGGACTAGGGAGCTATTATGGTAAATCTCTTTTCTAAAGCATTTTATCATTCTTCCCTACATATTGCATCAGACTTCATGATACGGTTTTGCTCAGGCACAAGTTAAGGTTAAACAGAGATATAATATATATGTTTCTGGTCACTGCATCCCTATTCATACTCTTCACTTTTCTTTAAACTGAGTCTGCGCATTTTTCAGTACATTTTTATACCCATTTGTACAGAGAGGTTGTTGGAAAAGGGGAGAGCTCTCCTCTATAAAAACTCATAAAAAGAAAAGAAGTCATGCAGCATCAAGAAGGAATTCTGTAGAGAATCAGCTGCGTAAAGGCTTTGAGCAAATCTAAATTTAAATTGTGTCTCTTGATCATCAGGGGAAAGACAGTCCTGTAAGTTTCTGTTGCACAGTATCAAAGGTTTTTTTTTGGTCATAGAACCCTAAAACATCTTAGTTGCCTTAAGGATATCTGCCTATAACACTGACCTGAATAAATAGCTGCATTCTCAAAGGAAGGAATGGGATGAAGATTTTTTTAATAGGTGGTGAGGGAGCAAATAAACAGCAAAAAGGGGTATTTAGATAACGCAAAATACTCTCTTCTCAGTTATTTATTTTTATCTTGAGTGGAAGAGATATGATATTGATAATCTGGTGCCTGTTTTGGGGGACAGGAAATGATAAAGAGGAAGAACTTACTCAGCAATCCAGAGCACTTACTGGTGGTTATCATCACATCTGCAGCCTGTCTGTTCTTCTGCCTCTACAGCCAGCCTGTCACATATCACTGACCTGATTCACAACATAGGAAAGCTCCCACTGAGGTTTCCTGTCCGTTCCCTTTGTTCAGGGCTGGATTGGCTGAAAGACCCTCAGCCCCAGCCTCTGAATGATATCAAAACATGACCACTGAGGCTGCCACCAGCCTGCTCTTCTGTCTTGGGCTTCAGCAGGCAGATCTTCTCAAATCTTGTGTGTTTTCATTTGCTTCTCTCTGCACTTGGAAACACTGTCTTTTTTTCTTTCTCGTGTTTATTCCTAAACCCATCTTGATGATCCAGCTGGCTTCATAACTGTGTTGAATGAAGTCAGAAGGGCTGTGCAGTGGTCTGCCTCTGAGGGCTATAGCCCTTGCCTCAGGTCTTGCAGTTCTTTTGCCTGAAGAATATAAAACATAATGTGAGTTTTTATATACTATTAAACTTGCATCTATAAATTACTGACCCATGGTAGCTGTTTATTACATATTCCATCTTCTGCTTTGATGCATTGTTGTTGTCACACTGAGGTGGGTAATGATGACTCAGCTTACTAGTGTGATAATGCACTTAAAGCTTAGAGATCTGTCACTGATGGCATTTCAACACAGGTGCTATAAACCAGAGATGAAAATTTAAAGTATTTACTGTCAAACTATTTGTCTTAAAATTCCTCTGTCTTCTGTTGTGGTTTCTTAAGGTTTTGGGTACTGCTGAATTGTTTTATGGACAAAGGCAAATAGTTGTGTTTCAGCAACTCCATGACACAGGACCTGCCCTCCCAAAAGTTGTTGGTGGTCCTCAATTTGTAATGCAGAAGGTGACCTATAAAATGCTTGTGCTCATCAGGCCTTCCTAACACAGCACTGATATTGTACGCATTTTTTAAGGGCCTGGCATTTCCAGTCATAAAGCACAGTGGAACACAGACTGATCACCATTTCTAATTATGTATTATTTCTATGGCTTTTCTTCTTTCTCACAGCCCTTCTGTATGCCACCATTTTTGGTAATGTGACAACCATATTTCAGCAAATGTACGCTAATACAAACAGATACCATGAAATGCTGAACAGTGTCCGGGACTTCCTAAAGCTCTACCAGGTCCCTAAAGGACTGAGTGAACGTGTGATGGATTACATCGTTTCCACCTGGTCAATGTCCAGAGGAATAGATACTGAAAAGGTAAGTAAATTAAACTGTGAGGAAAGAAGTCACATCCTGAAAGTATTCCATTAAAATAAACAGGAGGTACTGTCTTAGTAAAGAAGACAAATATTCTTTAAATAGTTCTAAGTAGTAGCTTCCCTTAATTTTAAACTTTCAAATACAGTATTTCAGCTATTCTGTCATACTGGCATATGCTAGTGGTAAAAGTATGCGTGTTTTGCTAGTGATATGGCATGAAATTGTATAAAAATGATGAAAAAGGCACTTAGTTTTCAGTAAATAAGGATGATAACTAAATAACAAGTTCCAAATTGTAAAACAATCTCCCCATTTCTCCAAATGAGATTTTTTTTGTATTATTTCCGAGTGAGGTTGTTTGCAGCTCTGTGGACCTGAAAACATGTCTTTGTAGAATTTGAATGTAACATTCTGTGTGCAGATTAAAGATATTAATGAAAGCTGGAAGTATTTAATAATGTATTATTTGAAATCTACCTTATGCGAGGCAAATGTTATCATTTTAATTCACTGAATTTACAAGTAACTTCCCATTGTGTCTTAAAATGACAAATGGCCTTTCACTTGAACAAATGTACAAAAGCAACTACTTCCCTCTTTTGTATTTGTTTCCAGCTTTTATGGAGATAGATACTGTTTTTCTTCTGCTTGTAAAGAGATGTGATTTGTGCGGTGGATCTTTCACGAAATTATACTAATGCTCTGGTCACCAGCCTTCTGGTTGGCAGCTTAATTTAGTATTCTAAACCGTAGATGATGCAGTTAAAGGGCAAATAGTGTCATTTCTGTATAGCTGTTAAAGTGTCATTATGAAGGAGTAGAACAGATGTGACTTTGCACTGGGCTGTCTGGAGACCAAGAGGTACAGCAGGTACTGTTTGCTCTCCGAAATATCTTCAGCTTATCTGCCATTTTTAGATCCCAGACCATGACTCTGTAAGCACTCACTCATACTGGCTTTCAGAAAGATGTGGTACTTTAGTGCTGGATAGTGCTGGTTGGAAGCTGTGTGGGATTATAGATTTGAGGTACATACATTTTAGGGAAGATGGAGAGACAGCATCTGAGGATACATTATGTCGTGAGTGCTGCTGTTTTCATTCACCCCCCATTACAAGCTACAGCCACCATTTTAACAAAGCAAGAAGAAAAAATTGCTATGTAAAACATGGGCTTTTTTCCTGTTATCTTTAAAATTCATTCTTGTCTTACTCTCGTAAAGAGAGAAATGCTCTAAGAATGCATTTGAAGACAGCAGAATAACCAAACCAAGCACAACAATTCTCACTGTAGCCTTTGATAATTTTAATAAACAGGGAAAAAGTCTCCAATTGTCAGGACAGCAAAGAGCCTAATACAGTGTTGTTTTCAATAACTGGTGTGTTCATAGCTGAACAGCCACTGGTGATGGCTGGTAAACCAAGAACCAACTATCATCTGCGTAGGAAAAGCCAGCAGGTGTAAGGCTCACTAATGGCTCTGCCAATCCATAAACTCCCAGGCCTGTGTTTAACTTTTAGGATGTCATGCAATGAATAAAACATGTATTGCTCGTGAGATAGAACAGTGGTAGTTGTGCTACTGTGTAATGCAGTGCAGCTTCCTGCAGATGAGGCAAATATTTAAATATGAATTTAGCACAGAATTGGTCTTCTCACTGTTTTGTAGGTCACAAGTTTTTCAGTTCAGTGTTAACTACAGACATGCGTGACTTTTTTAGTCAGCTAAAAGCAAAGACCATAAAGTCTAGAAAATGCCAGTTTAACAAAATTTAACCAAGAGCTACGGCAAGATTCTAAAATTAATATATGAAGATATATTTCTTACCTCCCATGCAAATGAAAGTCTTTTGCCATTTGGAACTCTCAAATGTCTTTAATCCCTTTAATTTTTGTGAAGTCTGGAGACAACTTTTGTAAGTGGAGAATGGAAAATGAGTTAACTTCCTCTTCAACTGGAAAACCAAGGGGTTTGGATAAGAACATAATTTTAAATACTCTTTTTTATATTCCAGTTTCTACTACAGCAACCCTTTTTGTGTGCTATATTTAAGTAACTGCAAAGGATGTGTGTAATTCCAGTAGTAAAATTTGTCAAGAATCTGCCAGTACAGAATGTGTTTGTTGCCAGAGTAAACAAAATAAGTAAACAGCTATGTCTGTTACCTGTGTTCCATGTTAAATGTTGGTCTTGCTGCCTCAGCCCACTTCTGTGAGCCTGGAAAAGTGAGAACTGGGGGTTTTAACTGCTGCTCTGTGTGGGGCAGCCAAAAAAGATCGTGACTTAAGCGCTATAGAGATACATCTTTTTGAAGGTAATACCTGTAATAACAGATCTCTTGGGGGTGGGACAAAGATAATTATATTACTGTTAGTCATTTGCCTTTGGAGTACCAGGCATAATATCTGGAACCAGTGCCATGAATTATGAGCTTGGTTCTCTGCTCAGATCTTGCACAGAGCCCCATTGTAAGGTGCAGACATAGCTGTACTGCTTCCAGTGTTACCTTTATGTTTTCCAGAATGTTTCCATTGAGGCGAGGCTGCTTCATCTTCTCCTCTCTTACCATCTAGGAAAATGTGTGGGAGTAACTCTGAAGCTCAACCAGAAGGTTCCTTAATTGGATGGAATAGTTATTAGTGAAAAAATTAAAATAAAGGGGCAGACTTAAATTTTTCAATGTTTTTCTCAAATAATACATCCTGGGTGTACTTCATCATAGATTATCCTCCAAAGGTTTTTGTCATCTCCAAACCCTGTTCATGTTGCGTATTTCCAGTGGTTTTGCCAGGAACTTTTAATCTGTACATGCAGTAGTAATTTAGTATTCTTTCCACTCTGCTGTCTGTATTATATTTAAAAGCTTTAGAAATGGCCCTGCCTGGTACCCGCTGTGCTAAGCATCAGTTTGTGTTCTCTTAGGAGAGAACACATCATGAATTGCCACGAGGAACATTGCATTTGGAAGATCAGCTTGCCCAACACAGTACCATACCTTGAAGTCCCTTTCTGGTGTAAACAAAAAACTTCTTAGTGCCACTGAGGGGTAAATTTGAATACCTGCAGTTCTCAATATTATGAGGCAATTAAGCTTTAAATAACTTTTTGTTTGTCTGTGTGTTAAAGAGATGTGTGATCATGCTTCTCCTCTAGACAATATTCTATGACTTGGAGCATATAATTTGAGCAGGCTTTTAGTGGAATCTGCCTGTCAAAAAAGTGACCTACCCTCTAGAAACAATCCTTCAGGAAGCATTTCTTCAACACTTTCTGTACTACTGTGCCCTCAGTTTTATTGTTTTAAAAAGCCGAGGCCGCCTGGTAATTCGGTATCCAGCACAGCATGTTGCTGAGATAAAAAGAGTATTTTCTTTCAGGTATTATAAAGTAGACTAAGTTAACATTGTGGCTTATGTGTGTAAATAATATAAAAATATATGTACAGACCAAGATTAGAAATTTTACAAGAAAGAGGAAAGTAGTTCTTAAATGTTGTGTAGTAAACTAGCAATAATAGGCACATAAAAGCCCCGCACAGGAATTGATTGTCTGATTTCCTTCTCAGGTTTTGCAGATATGCCCTAAGGACATGAGAGCAGATATCTGTGTGCATCTGAACCGCAAAGTCTTCAAGGAGCACCCAGCCTTCAGGCTGGCGAGCGATGGGTGCCTGCGAGCGCTCGCCATGGAATTTCAGACAGTGCACTGTGCTCCAGGAGACCTGATCTACCACGCCGGAGAGAGCGTCGACAGCCTTTGCTTTGTGGTTTCGGGGTCTTTGGAAGTAATCCAGGATGACGAAGTCGTTGCTATTTTGGGTAAGTTTCGCAGCTGATAATATGCATTATGCACAAATATGCATGCAGGGAGCATTTTTATAACCTCTTCTCATTCTTTTAAAAAACTTCAGTCAAGTTATCTTTACCACAGCCCAGATAAATATAAAAACTATATTTTATTGTCCTTCCTGTTCCACACAGGTAAATAGAGGGGCAATCATCTCATCTCTAGATTGCTTTAACCCCGTTTCCTCTCAGTGGAAACTCTACTTGAGCACTAGCATCCTGGTCATTCTTGAAGTTCTCCCTGTCTCGACACATCTCTTTTTGTTAGAAATTCCACTTAGGACTCAAAAAACTTTTTTTAAACGTGCCTGTCTTCCCTGCCTCCCTCCCACCCCCTGTTAATAATCCAATTTTGCTGGAAATTTTCCAACAATTAGATTTATTTAGATCTCATGTTAAAATAATATTTATCCATTTCAAAGTCGAAGTAATTTAAAAATTTAGAGCTAATTTGTGCAAACTTGGAATGGCAGCTTTGTGTTGAAGCATTAAAAAGAAGCTAATAGTAACGTGAGCAACATTCTGAGGCAAAGCTAAGAGAAAAGAGTGGGATAATCCAATAGATGTAGATGAACTGTGGCTGGAGCACTGAGGAGGTGATACTTATCATTTGATTCTATCAGACCCTTTTGTAGTAAGGTAAATTCTCATGGTGGCTTAATCCAGTACCTGTCAATCACAGAAGCCAGGAAAAAGAGAAGAAAAGAGCTTGGCAATCTTACTTTTTCTGAACACATACACCCAGCTCTCCCAAGAGGGATGTCTACTGAAAAATGAGGGAGCTAATAAATAGCCTGAGTTCGATTTTTCTCTGTTTCTAAACATGTATAGTAAAGGGTGAATTTAGTGTCCTGGGGAATCAAGTTGATAATATTTTGTGCCACATAAGAAGCTAAAAAGGTGAAAAGTTGGAGGGTAACTGATTCTCTTTTGTTCTGGAATCACCTGTGCTCTTCAGTGCTGCATGATACTAGCAACTTCTGCTTGTCTAAGCTGCACATCAAGAATTTACTACCTTTTCCATGTTGAACTCTCGAGAATTAACATGGCAAATGTAGAACAAACTAAAACCTCTCAGTTTGTGTCCCCTAAAGCCACCACTTGGGTTCCCTGCAAGAAGAAAACTTCAAAACTTCTTGCTGCTCTATTTGAGCAGGTAGAAAGCAATGATACAAAAGTTTTTTAAAATGTCCTTTAAAGATAACAATGTTATCCGTATCTTTACTTGTAACTTCTGCAATCTATCATAACACTCACTTTAGAAAACAGCCTAGATTGCTTGAGAAACCTAATCTCTGCAGTTGCAGAGTGATAGCCACAGATAAATGAGGCTGATCCCTTGGTATCTGGATGAATAGAAGTATTTTGTTGCTACTGCTCTCCTGGGATGGTAACTATTGATCCTTTTCCCTCCACAACTAATTTTATTTTTTTTTTTAATTTTCCATTTGGAGTCAGTTCTCTGGCATTCACAAAACTTGATGAACTCTGTCATTTTCTTTGTGAATATTGTAAGTGAAGAGGAAAGTAAAATTAAGTGGGATCTCTTTGTGATTCTATAAGATTTCATTTTGGATGTACTTCAATTTTTGTGTTTCTGCTTCTGTACTAAAGAATTCCTTTCCCTCCACATGTGTGCCTACCTTCCCCCTCCCAGGCTGTGCAGTCTTCTGTTGAAGGTTTCTCTATTCTGATAAGAAATTCTGTGTTTAACTAAGTTTTTTGCTATTCTAAATCAGTTGGACTTTCTTCTCCTTTCACATTGTGTAATTTACCCACCACATTACTAAAGTATGCCGCAGGAGATGGGCCAGGGTTTCCTGCCTAACTTCTCTGTACTCAGTTTTCTTATCTGTAGAATATGTAGAACAATGCTTTGGGGGGTTATTTTTGTTGTTCTTTTTGTTGTTTAATTTCATATCTAGCTAAGCTTGTCAAGCTCTTGCTGAAAAGTATACCAGATGAAACAAGGTACTACGAGGAAAAATAAAGTACATTGTACAAGAAACACGATTGTTGCTGATCACTCAGCCAGAACAACCTATGATAAGTTTTATCAGTCACAACTAAGCATAGCTATGAACATTAGGCATGTAACAGCAAACCACGTGAGCATTTCTACAGGGTAATTTTAGTTAAGAGGTATGTTGGAGAGACTGTAATCTTCTTTAAGGCATTTTTGAAACAAAAATTAAAAAAGTAAATGCACAAATGATTCAAGGGGAATTATTTGCTCAACTTTAGCTGTCATGTAATTCACAGTTTGCAATGTATCTGTATCCTGTATCTTCCTTACAACAGAGAGATGAATTGCATCCCTAAATTAGTCTGTGTGACTGCTATACAGCATTACATAAACCAAAGGCAAACTACACTTAATCCTTTAATGATGCAATTCACATGAAACATTTTCAAGTTCTGAAACATTCAACCTTGCAGACTAGCACATAAAAGTATATTGTGTAGCTTTGGAGTGTATTGGGTACACTTTCATAATATCCTTCCAAATCAGTTCCGTGTAATACCACAGAGGCAGGGATGTCCTCAGTTCTGGCTAAAGTTCTTATAACAAAGCACTGACTTTGACTGACTTAGATTAATACAAGTACTGAGTTGGAAGAAATTGCCCATTGACCAACAGTGAAAAAATGTGCTCGTTCTGTGTATGTCTCCTAATATTATTGCCTTCCCCATTATTTTGATGTAAATACAAACACACACACACACAAAATAAATTAAAAAAAAAATTTTAACACATCAAAACATTTTGTGTGGACTTTGATTTGTTGCAATGAAAGACATATTTTTTTGAATTCTGTGCAAAATTTCTGCTCAAACACAGAGACTACCAATGTCCATGCAATGCAATCTTTGGATTTGATGTGTCAAAGAAACAAAAACCTTTAAGCCAGGTGATGGATTTATCTGTGATTCATTCTAATATAAATGTGTTAGAAAAGGAAGACTTAGCAAGAAAAGCCTCTGTATTACTATGTTTTACTATTTTAACATGTAAGTATGAGGGTGGGATTATGTAAAAGGGAAGCTTAGCTAGTGGGAAGCTGCTTGGATGAAATATGACTGTTTTCCCTTTCTTCCCCGTTCTTCCCATTTACACCATTGTTAGTGCATAAGATGAAGTGATGATGTAAGCATTCTATCACATAGTCCCTGCCCCTGAAGAGAACTGAGCAAAGCACAGACCGTGCAGGATTTCCATTAAGAGACTGTTTTCAACTTGGCTTTGCTTTTAGCTTTTCTCAGCCCTCCCATTTGGCCTGCTGCTGCTTTATCCACCTGAGACTGACAGTGTCTCTTTGAACTACTCTTATTTAAAGACTTACCCATTTATCCAAATGTGGTAGAGAAAATAGGTTGGTTTTTTTGCTGTTAAAAACAATCAGACATTTATGTGTACTTCATTTGGTAGCTCTGCTCAGTCTCTCTGCTTTGGAGCAGACATTTCGGGCTGTGCCTCCGACTATCTGAAAATCTGACCTTATTGCAGGTCTTTGAAAAGTTAAAATCTACTCATGCTCAGGAGATCGGCTACATTTTCATTTATCAAATAACTTCTTTAATTTATCAAATATTCCTCCTGAATTAATTGAGTTCCAGGCACAGAACACAAAGTCTGACTGAAGCTTTCTTGGCAATACGCAGGGGAAAAGGGGTTGAGTGTGAAATAAGCCTACATGGCTAGGTGTTGTTTCTTTATTTAAGGAAGCTTGAAGACCTAAACTGTCTTTCATTGCACTTTTTATGTTTTTTTACACTGTGAAGGTATGTGTTTCATTAGTCAAGTGTGAGAATGTAGGTTGTTTGGAACTGTGGTAAACAATAAGCTGATGTCAGAAGTCCAGCTGAGCAGATGTGTGCCATTGCTGGGGTCATTTCACAACATGTGGCTAACAGGGCACTTCACTCACCCTCCAGCCATTTAATCTGAACCTTTTTAATCTCTCCTCATGATTGCTAGAGGACGTGCTAGTTCTTGTATTATGTCTCCAACTGCATGTGTGCTTAGATAACGTCATGAAAATAGTAGCAAAAATATCCTTTTGTAAGTATTTTCTGGAAATACAAAGAAGGGCTGGACAGAAGGCCTTCTTAGTAAAGGATTTATATTGTGTGAATGTACAAATATCTGAATGACTTAGAAAACCACTTTTGACCTTTCTAGGAAATAATCGATTCTGGGTTAGGTATGACTGACATAATAGTACTCCAAGATTGAGCAGAAAAATCCCTCTTCTCTGGGAAATCTGAAGGAAGCAAGTGATTCTGGGACCCAAGTTGGTTCCAACCCTTTCTGCCTGAAATAGGGGTAATCTTTAAAATTTATCAAAACATTCCAGGAAAAGGCTAGAGAAAGGAAGAAGAAGACCTTTGCAAACTAGAGTGGCAGACTGTTTTTTTCTAGATAGCAGTGAGGAAGACAATGTCTTGTGCTTAAATTTTCTGACTGCTGCAACGAAGATGGTAAAGGGCCTTGAGGGGAAGGCATGTGAGGAGCGGCTGAGGTCACTTGGTCTCTTCAGCCTGGAGAAGAGGAGACTGAGGGGAGACCTCATTGCAGTTGCAGCTTCTTGTGAGGGGAAGAGGAGGGGCAGGCACTGCTCTCTTCTCTGCGGTTGCCAGTGGCAGAACCTGAGGGAATGGCCTCAAGTTGTGTCAGATGTTTAGTGTGGATATTAGGAAAACATTCTTCACCCAGAGGGTGGTTGGGCACTGGAACAGGCTTCCCAGGGAAGTGGTCACAGCACCAAGCTTGACAGAGTTCAAGAAGCACTTGGACAATGTTCTCAGGCACATGGTGTACGGGTATGGTCCTGTGCAGGGCTAAGGGTTGGACTCAATCATCCTTGTGGGTCCCTTCCAATTCAGCATATTCTTTGATTTGTCATTTAATGACTGCTAGATGGCCGGACTGTACAGCAGATCTTTACTTCTATGAATAGTTCAAAGCTGCT